CTAATTTTGGGAAACCCCCTATGTTGATTATGAAGCCTGAGCTGAATCAGCTTTAACATTATATATATATATATCGGGATTGAGGTTTGGAGTCTCAGGGATGATGGGGATGTTTTCCCATCATGGGTTAGAGGGTTTAGGATTTATGGTTTCGGGTTTAGGGCCTCTCAGGAAGCTTTACGAACTCTGGCTGCAAATTCACACGCTTTGGGCTTGGGGTTGACGATTTGAAGGACTCTGAGCCCCCCCTGCGGATGTACAAACACAAACCCCGAAGGGTCGGTAACTACGAAAGCTTGTCAGGTGAGGATCCACGGAGGTTAGATCTAACACTGGGGGTTTAGGGTTTAGGGTTGGGTCGAGGGCTTAGGGTTAAGAATTCCGTAACATGCTGTTGATACTGCAAATCGTGCCGAACTTTCGTATATTCAAATACCCAAATTCCCAGGGTAGAAGGCACCCAGGGCCACGCAGGATCCTTACTACCCTAAGCCCTCAATCCTAAACCCCGAACCCGTCCAGTATCAACAGTAGGGATCAAGGGTGCTAGGGAGATATCTCAGCATTTTCATATGGGATAAAAGTCCAAGAAACGGTGCAGGGCTCCAAGATTGTACAAGTCACTGATCGCCCTCGGATCTCAAATTTGCACGCTTGCCGTTTACTGAGGCGGCAAGTTTGCCAGCCCGGCTTGACACGAAGTTGCACATAGATTCTACGCTCAGATGAGTTATTTAGCCCTGGGCTTCTACCCAAAACCCTCTAGATCCCTACATAAGCCCTACACCTACTATGTACCGCAAGAAAACTCTAAATCTTGACCCTAAACCCTAAACCCTAATCCCCCGAAATACCAGCACCCTGGCTCCTGAGTGACAGTGCCCAACATCAGGAAGCGAAAGCCGGAGTCCGTCAGCCCTGCATGCCTCAGCTGCGTCTAAAAGGCTTATAGTGAAGCATATAAAGGGGAATATATAGGGAGGGAGAGAGAGAGAGAGATATATTTATATATATAGATATTTCATATTCATATATATATATACACGTCTCTCTCTCTCTCTCTCTCTCAAGGTAGTGTAGGGCCTGGGTTGAAAAGGTTGTAGTGTATTCTATAGGGTGTCATATAGGGATACACAGCTGGGGTATCTGGGGATATAAAGGAGTATATAGGGTTTGGGGTTGGGGAGGGTTTAGGTTGAAGGGTTCAGGACTAAAGGCTTAGGGCTTGGGTTGAGGGTTTGAATCATAGGGGTAAATGGGTACGGATTCAGGATTTGGTTAGGGATCACAGGTTCAGGGTTTCAGGTCAGGGGCCCATGCGATCAGACTATGTATTCCCAGAACTTGGTGAGCATTTTTTCATGGGGTGGGGAAGTACACCAACAAAAGTTCGAGAGTTGAGCATGAAACAGCAAAAATTCAGTCACGGAAGGCAAGCGATGCTCTTAAGCGTCTAGCCGAAAAACTCACGCAACAACAGCCCTAGTGGTAGAGATTCACGTCTATAGTCTATAGAGTCAATGTCAAAATGATCCTACAGGTGTACAGAAGGCAAGAAGGCACTGAACCCAATGCTGCATCTGTCTATGACAGGGGCCCAAATTGACATAACTTAAAATGGAGCTCTAACGCCGGCCTTCCTGACCCCTATCCAAACGAGCCCTGGCTGGGTTGGCCCCTAAAACCCTTAAAAAACCATCAATCTATAGGGTCCCCTATTAAAGCCATTAGGGAAAACATTCAATATTTCAGGGGCCTATTGAGCTAGAAGCTTGAGACATTTCGGCCATCATCCTCACGTTCCCGAGTGGCATCTGTTGCCAAACATCCATTACTGTGAATAAACACATTTCCCATAAACCACTAACACTGGGTTGTTGAACTACTATTAAAGATGATCATGTTTAATCTATATTGGGCCTAGGTATACACAAAACATATAACATGTTGTTCAACATGAACGCAGTAAGCCCCAACCCGTTTCCAGAAGAAATGAACACCATGTCCACCTCGTATGACCATTATTCACAATGAGGACCCAAGCGGACTGCGCAATGCTCAAAGCGAAGACTTACTGGTTCTTAGTGGGGAATGTTGGAGTATCATCCTGTATAGCCCCTATATAACATAGTCCCATCTTCCCTACCAACACGCTAAGGCAGGGGCGTGCTTGACATTCTCTTCCACCCATCACCTTGCCCTAAGGGCTAATTAATGTACGAGCTGCCTGCTTGCTGATAGGCTATGTCTCCAAATAGGTATCTCTCTATGAGCCCCATAAACATGAAGCCCTTAGTATAGAGCACCCATAATCAAGACAAACCCTAAGCCGTCTCAACCTTCCTTTATCTGGTAGTGTCGGTAAACAGAGAGAACCCGACTATAATCCTGACTATGCGGAGTCCACGGAGGGACTGTTGGTCAGTTGTTTTTTATGAGGCCAAAAACTTTGGAGACCCTTTCTGTTGTACACGGGATGCAACATGTCCCTGGTACTAGTACTGGAACTCTTATAATGAAGGTAATGGTAGCGCTAGCTGGTAACCAGCACTCCTCCTCGTCTACTCCTCTTCTGCTGCAGCAATGCAGCAACAACAAAATAAGAAAAAACACCATAAACCCTAGAATCTAAACGTTAAACCCAAGACCATATGCCCTAAACCCTAACTTTCTCCCTTAAACCCTAAACCCTAAACCCTAATCATCACCGTCATCATCATCATCCTCAGACTGCTGACAGAGATGCTGTACCCCAGGTGGCAGGTGCAACAGCAAGCCCGGTCTGGCTTCCACCTGTCAGTCAGATGGGGGCTGTATGTAGGGGCTATATGGGGGTTATATGGGGTTATAGGGGTCGTGTGGGGATGATATTGGGATTATCGAGTGGAGCATCAAAGGGAAATGGACATGGAACATGACATGGAAACTTGGTTCTAAGCGTCCTTAAGTGTATTTAGGCTCTGGGGTCCTAACAGTAACAGACTCCAGAGAACCCGATTCCAATCAATTCCCGAGGATCCTCCCATAAGCACGTCATGGATGCATGAGATGCCAGGCAGGACGTCTGAAATTATGCTGAAACGAGTGGCTCCATGAATTTCAATCAGAACTGCCCACCAAGTTCTTCCCTCCTTGACCCTCCATGGCTCTGAACACCAAACTAAAGAGCTTCAGTCCCCTTCTGTCGCAGTAATAATAGGAATAGCATAATAACAACATGGTTCAGAGGCCTGAACTGGAAACCTGCATGCGGATCCGAGCCTCCAAGAACAGAAAAACCGTCCGTGTAAAACTGTAAGAATAGCAATAATAGCGTCGATGAAACAGTAATAATAGTGAAAGTCGTAACTTCGACTAACTTCCTCTACTTGGAGGGTCAGGTGGCCCAGTAAGTAGGCTAATAACCCCTGTGAGCCATCCAAGGAGACTTCAACCATCCCCATTAGTTAATTTAAGTACTTACTAAGCCCCCAGGACCCTCCGAGTAGGAATCAGAAGAAAATAAAGAATCTACCCCTTCCGTCTGATCCTGGAGGCAAACGACACGCGAGCTGATCCCCACCCACTGCAACGAAACACAACGACCAACTAAGCCTCTACACTCTAATCCGTAGAATGCTTACTATCCACTTTTCTTGATATTGCCCTCACAGAAAAGGCGATTCATCACAATGCGCCTACGCTGCAGTCGCCACAGCTACATTTTTCAAAATCTAAGCCTGGACATCCATCTGTCAACTATCTGCATCCAGGTCTGCAACGCATCACGGAGAAGAGCCGTACCGTGGACTTACTCAGGAATCAGTGTAGGCCTGCTGCCAGCGTTGCTGGACACTGCCTGCTCTCAACTCCCAACGTCTCAAACCCCACACCCTGAAACCTAAACTCCTCAACTGCAAAAATGTTGACCCCTATGTCCCTCAAACTATACATCCTTCCTTCCACCAAAACCCTATGCGCTAAACCCACACAGAGAATTGAGATCCCAAACCTCCTGGCGTCTCCACTTCCCGGAGCTGGCGTTGCGCTCGGTGAGGGCAAATCGCCCTGCTCCTTGTGGGTAGTGTCCTTTTTGGTGGTTGAACCTAGTAAGATTATATATTCCTTATATAAAATACTATACCCCAAAAGGAGGATATAATCTTACTCTATATTGGGTACCATACTACCCCAAATAAAATACTACCCTTGTGGGCTCAGGGTTTGGTTGGAGCTTCTGGGTTGATGGTTTCGTGGCTTGAGGCTAGGGCTTAGAAGCTGGAATGGGCAAATGGGGTTAGACAGGGTTATATAACGGTTATATAGGGTTATATAAGGATTATATAGGATTACATAAGGGAGGACGCAAAAGAACATGGAAACTACCATGGTTCAAAGGTTGAGGATTGGGGCTTACCACCGGGGCTTTATTGGGAGTATATCGGAATGTTGATTCATGACATGCAGATACTCCGAGTGCAGCTGGCAAACCAAATCGAGAGGTTCGATCCCAGATTGAGGTCACTCTGTTCCATTATCCCTACATAACTCCAATATACTATATAGTAGTTTCCATGTTCTTTTCCATTATCCCTACATAGACTTGAGAAGTTGAAGTAAAATCCGGACTTTCCCTAAGCCTCCTGTTTAGGTTTAGGGTTTAGGGTCTAAGGCTCTATAGGTTTGAGGTTTAGGGTTTAAGGTTGTGGGCCTAGGCCCTGTCTGACACATTTCAGCCACACTTGGCTGCCCTGTCCTGACAGCACATAGAATATCTCGAACATATCTTCATGGTCCTTGGTTGCCATCTCATTCGCTGAGCCTATCTGCAACCAGCAGCTGTTGCCAGCATAATCCAACCTCACTCCTCATAAGAAAACTAATAACAAGAATGATAAACGGTAGTAGTTTTTTCTTGTCATAAATAGTAATGATCATAGAGATGGGAGTAGTAAGAATAATAGTAATAATAACAATCTGTCTCTTCTGCAGCTCATATGGTCAAGCTGGAAACCAATCAACTAAGGGACGTGGTCTTCAAAGTACGTCCCATCCAGAAACTCGGCCACGCTGATCTGTGTCAGTGGCGGGACCTCGCCCTTTCTCACGAAAACTTTCTTCCTCAGTCCCTAAACCCTAAACCGCCACACCCCATTGCTGGCCTGAGGCATGTTACAGGCCTACTGCCCTTCTACAAGAGGACATCCTCAATAGTACGGAACAAGAACAACAAAAGCAACCGAGTGCGTCCCAAGACACGTGTTTGTGAAGGGCTCATGGTTGATCTTGAAGACCTCTGCCTCCTACTGGGTTGGCCCCTAAAACCCTTTTAAAAATATTAGTATATAGGGTCCCTTATTAAAGCCATTAGGGAAAATATCAAATATCCCAGGGGCCTACCCAGCCTCCCAGCTTGTGATTCGCGGCGCATGTGCGCACGGGAAGCGTTTGTGCCTTCCATCCTGCAGGCCCATATTCTCCTAAGACAGGCAATTAGAGTTTAGGGATTAAGGTTATATTGGGATAATGGACAAGAAAATGGAAACTACTATAAAGTATATTGGGGTCATATAGGGATAATGGAAAAGAAAATGGAAACTACTATGAGGGGATTATATTCTCCTAAGACAGGCAGGCGCGCAACTGAAATCTTCTTCACCATCATATGGGTGGTTATCAAAATTATGGTCCCTTTTTGGATCCCTATTATAATACAGCACCTAATATTTAGGCTACCCAAAAAGGGACCATAACTTTGACAACCAACCATATAGAGTCCAGCAATTCCTTGCTCAAGATTTGCAAAGCCCACATTCCGTGAACACGCGCGATTTTAGGGGGACCTTGAGAGTTGAACCTCGGCTTTTTCTTCACTAGCCTGTACCTCCAGCTGTCGGACCAAAATATCTAGACCAGTGAGCCCAATCCTTGCAATTTAAGTTCCCGCCCTCCCTGTGTCTGAAACTTCCCAAAAACCTACCATCCTCTGCCAAGAGAGTGCCCGGAGGTTCAGAACTCCCACCCTTCTTTATCTGAGCCGCAAACATGTAACAGGCCATGCAAGCCCAGTAAAAGGATACCCCAAGGCTACGGTCTTATCTTCGGGTTCCACATTCAGGATCCTGCTGTTGGGGTTTGGGCGGCAAATGTAGATGCACTGGATCTTGACGGTTTAGGGCATACCTGAATCAAATCGTGGCCACGCGGCTTTTTGTGTGAAGACTTCGGCGCTAGCCGGTTCCCATAGAACCCACGCGAGAAGGACAGGCAAAGCCCGCATGCAGCACTCCATGAGGGCAAAAGCAGCGATCGCTATTCAAATGTCTCTGTCTGCCAGCTAGGCATGCGTTTGGTGCATTCCATGAAAGGTATCCCAACATTGAGGTACCTTGTGGCACCGCTGAGAAATCTTGAATTGCATCAGTCTTCTTTTTGTGCTGTTCCCACTTATTCATTGTTTTACGGCTGCCGCTCCTGCTCGGCGCTATGACATAACTTGCGATTGTTGGCTCTATCCTGTCCATGACGTTTACCAGTTTAGGATGTCCTGCCTAAGTGTGTAGGGTTGGTTGGCTGGCGGTGGCTCAGCTGCGCGGCGGCTGTCGGTTAAAAGAGAATTCAGCAAAGCTGCAAAACTTCTGAGGGTAAGGACATGGATTTGCGCGTAGATCTCTATCCCGCATAGGGTTGCAACGGGGATTTGCCAGGGGCGTATATGGGGATACATGCTGGGAAGGGTGAATTTTGCGGGCTTAATCTAGAATGACGCTGGAATACAGCGGCTAGTAGCAACTGAACCCCAAAAGTATGCAGAACAGCGGCACTTTGTTGTTCTTCTTGTAGGTTCGGGGCAAGTGTTTTACCTGAGCTATAGTCTAAACTCCTAGTATCCCCCTTAATACCCCCCTATAGTAGTCCCCTGTATAATCCCCTATGTAACCCCCTTTAAGGAGTTTAGACTACGGCTCACCTAGCTTTGAGCTCGAAGTGGTCATGGCTCCCGCATGAGCCGCAGGCCATAGTAACAAATCGCTGCATGGCCTGCTCCAGGCTTTGGGTATATATTGGCATAATGGAAAATCAAATGGAAACTACTATAATGGGTAATATAGGGATTATAGGGTATATATTGGGGATTCAGGGTTGAAGTTTGGTTGAGAGCTGACAGTTTAGGATTCGGAGGGTTAAGTTCAGGTTCAGGACTCAGGGTTTAGGGCTCAGGGCGTAGCATTTGGGTTTATGGCTTGGGTTCAGGGCTTGCTTATGGGTTATAGGGCGCAGGGCCTCAGATTTGGGGTTAGGTTGGGGTTCAGAGACTAGGGTTGAGGCCCCATGCAGTAGGATTTGGGATTTAGGGATTTACTTTACTGCAAGGCTCAGGACATAGGCTTTTGAGGTGTAAGGGTGAGATCTTCAGGAAAATTTCAAGGCTTGGCTTGCCATTGTTGGTGCTCTAGGCCTAAGCGCTCAGCTTGTTAAGTTAAGTTCTACTTGTGAACCCATGAAACTGGGCGTTTATGATACGTCAGGTCCAGAGGGCCCAAGACAACATGATGAAATTGCATAACAACAACACGAACGATGACATTAATTATACCACTTGTGGTAGAAATGACCCTTAACCCTTAAGCCTAGTCGCAAGTAATGACACTAAAGAGGAAGTCAACTCTTGCGCAATTCAATTTGGGATACTACAAGAGACATCCCATGCCCAAAATCCTAAGCCATAACTCCCAAAGCCTAGAAACGTAAGCCATACTGTTGCATGACCTGAGTATGCTACATTGCCCGAATTCCCAAGGTATCATGTACTGTATTATCTTACATGAACCTCATGGTGCACCAGCAGCCTCAGTAAATATAGTACGAAACGACAAGAGTATCTATTCAGGAAGTGACTATGGCCCTAAACCCAAAATCCTATTGCTTGGGTTTACCCTGTCTAGCCCTAAACCTGATCTCTATAACCCCTTTAATTTCCCTTCAACCGGGCTGGTGGATATCCTGAACCTTAAGCTCTGAACCTTAAAGCCCAAACCCTGAACCTTAAAGCCTGAACTCTGAATCTAGAACCCTAAAGCAAAGGCCATTAACACTGAAACTTGAACCTTGAACGCTCAACCTGAATCTTTGAAGCTTGAAGGTTCAACCCAAATCCCTAATCCTTAAAGCTCAATCCCTAAAGCCAAAAACCCTAAAACTCTAATACCTACACCTTAAAGCTCAATCGTTTAGCATCCCGTTGCCTTCATGGTTGCTCGGCCCGGCGTGCCGCTGAAGTCTTGAAGGTCCTGGAAGATCTCGCCTGAAGAATACGGCGGATACGAAAAATCCTTTAAAGGGGAAGACGGGATTAAAGGATATATAGGATCCTTTAAAACGTATATAGGAATTATATAGAGATTATATAGGGATTTATAGGATCCTTCCAGGGATTATACAGGGATATATGGGATCCTTTAAAAGCGCAGGGGTTATACGGGCATATATAGGATCCTTTAAAAGGGTATATAGGGGTGATATAGGGATATATGGGGTTTAAGGATTTTGGTTTAGCATTGATAGCATCTATCTTGCATAAACCAAGTACCCCAGGCCTTGGAAATCATGGTGGTATAGCATGCTAAGGTCACGCAGAATATGTAGCATCAACATTAGGACCCGCCCCAGTATTCGGGTAAAGGATTTAGGGCTTAAAGTGTAAGTTTGCTTCAGGAGGTTCAGGGTATTAGGGTTTAGGACCACGCTAGCATTCAATTTAGAGTTCAGAAGGAAAATCAACGCCGCACCTGTGTCTTATGGGGTACTACGGCAAGTACTCGTTTTTGTGCCTGAGTGTAAAGCTGTATACCATAGCGACCCAAGGGTATTCCAGAGGGTTCAGGGCTTTAAGTTTTAGATCTCGAACTGCGCGAGTATGCAAGGTAGCATGTTTTCTTTTCCCTCAAGCTGAGGTCAACTTGGGGGCCGCAAGGGGTATGTAGAGTATTGAGAGATCCGATTTCTGCAGATATGGCTGGATGTAGAAAATTGAAAGCTCATAAGTGTACACAGGGACGGGAACAGGCGATGTGAGGAGTGCCAAAGAACCGTGCCGCTGCTCGCAGGCTCATGAGCAAAAGATGCAGAGCTGTAAGTGTAGTTGGAAGTAACTACTCCGAACACGGGCATAATTGGTCATAGTCGATTTATTCAAACCTTGATTTGTAGCTACCCCAGCCCGGGCCCATCCAAAGCAAAAGCTCCGCCTGTTGAACCCCAAGTCCTAGCTCTCAGACCACCAGACACGCCCATGGGTTTAAGTACCCGCCCGCCCCGAAGGGGCCCCAAAAAGGACCCACGGCTGCACCCTGAACAAGTGTGAGCACCAGTGTCGAGGCCTAGCAGAGAATTTCGCACAGACCGGTCTCCGTTGGCACGCCTCATGTCACTACAAGACAGCACTGTGAAAGGCCTTCTCGAATTAGGGTTTGGGCTTTATGACTTAGGTTTCTAGAAGGGCATCTCGCTAGGTGGTGTGTCGGGTTGAGGGTTGGCACCAGAATTTGGGTTGGTGGTGTGTCCACCCCGAACTAGCAGGATGCCCCGTTTCAGCCGCTGTTGTAATCCTATTGGGAGAATATGGGGAAGAAAATGGAAACTACTAAATAGTATATTGGAGTCATATCAGGATAATGGAAAAGATAATGGAAACTACTAAATAGTATATTGGCGTTGTATAGGGATAATGGAAAAGAACATTGAAACTACTAAATAGTAGATTGGGGTTATATAGAGATAATGGAAAAGAAAATGGAAAGTACTACGTTGGGGGTTACGCTTGTAGAGCGCCCTTGCAGGTTCCATTTTAGCTTGCAGGAGTGTGCCTCGCTGATGTGCTCATCAACACATGCTCAGAGGAAACTTGCCACAGTGCTGCGCTGGATGGAGCATACGTTGGCTACTGCCCCGCACTCTGCAACGGTCAGATAGAAGACCCCTTATCAGAATGTGATACTATAAGCACCGATAGGGGCGTGTTCACGGAATACGTGCAGGTGGGCAAGCTCGTGCTGAACCCTCCTGCGGGGACTTTGCTCAAAAACGTGCGCCGTTAGAATTCCATAGACTTGTATGGGAACAGCCTCGACATGTAGTAGCAATTCCTTCCCATGAAGCCGCAGTTGCCTCCTGGTGAGTCGTGCGGCCTACATGCTTTTGGTGTGCATGTTGATGGAAGACCTGGTGTGGGAACAAACGCGGTGGTCTGCTTGTAGCTGCCTGTCAAACAGCAGGTTCCCGCCGTTCCTTGGGCGGTTTCAGAATTGCCCCAACACAGTCCTAGAAAAGGGCCCCCTAGACCCTAAAGACCGTGTTCTATCCTAGTAATTACGTGCTTGCCCAAGCTCCACTTTGTTCGGAGCAATCCATTCACGCCCACAGATTATGGCTGCAGCCAGAATCGGAGTGTTGAAGACACTTCTGATGTTTACAGGAACTTGAACTCAAATTTACTCTTATGTTCCAAAAGCCTTTACATGCACCACCATTCATAGTATGATCCTCGCTATAAGGACACAAGGAGTTTTAATTTTGAGAAGCTATCATATGGGGACCCTGGGGTTGATTTTCCGCGGTCTGGATTCGAATTCTTGGCTGAGAGCCAGGCGCGTTACCAGTGTCGCCTGCCATCACGCGTTCAGCTTTAATTAAACTTTCGTGCGTTCGGCTAACATGCGCGCTCCTGCAATTCTGGGAAAACTCCTGGGGCCCTCGATGCTGGGATGCTACCTGCCGAACAATGCCGGTTCTGAAGTGCATGAATGGCCGGGTTGATGGGGAATCCCCCGCCGCAGAAACCAGTGCATCAAAATCTCAAACTGGCTCAGACATGGGCACGAAACGATACCTTGAGCGCATGCTTTGGATCCCAATCTCCGGAAACTGAACTCAGCGTGCACGGCCCAGCCTTGAACCTTCAAATAGTATAAGCTCATAAGCTTGAACATCTGAAGCAAGAAAGTAAAAGCTTCCATCTCAGTTTAGGCCAAATCCCCGGCCCCCCACACCCCAAGTCCAAAGCCCCGTTTCTATAATCCGCACATGATCGGTATGCTTATTACGAGATCACACAGAGCCCATATCATGATCCACAAGTACGCCGGCATCTGAAGCCGCCCCACTTCCCCCTCTCTGTGGAGCCTTCTTCGTCAGCATCATCCTGCCACTTTGGATGGGCCGTTTGTTTACACGACGTGAAGGAAGCTGCGACAGAAACCGAACAAAAGCAACTGATGAGCATGATAGCAGCTG